AATAAATGGATTCTTTCCTGGAGATGGTTACGGTCATGTGGTGGTACTTGTGTGGAGCAAACGTTGCAAAACGTAGCCTTGGTGTCACTCTCACCTCTGGAATTCAGCTCCTATATGCATGTTTAGAGGTCAACAGTTGAATCGCCCAGGTGGAATGGCAATTTTGTCAATGAGCAGGTAACTGCTGACAAAGTGCTGCTTGAATCCATACTCAATGACAACTTGGATAATTTTGTTGATTTTTAATATACAAGGAATCACTTAGCTCTGTCCATTACATGTTGCTTCTGCTGTTTAGACTTGCAATGTAGCATCACTAGGTTGAAATCTCGTTTTTGGTACGTCTGATACTGCTCCTGGCATCTTCTCGTCCACTCTTCATTAAACCATAACTTACCAGTTCTGGTAGAGTTGGCTATAGTTTGCAGATGAAGACAATTCTTCTGCTGCTAATCGCCCACAGCACCCATGATGACCAGTTTCATTGTCACAGTTGTAATTACTGAGATTATATTTTGAGACATGTTATTACACACCTCTAGAGCAGGTGGGACTTGAGCCTAGACTTCCTAGTTCAGAGGTAGGGCCACTACCATTGCTTCACCAGGGCCCATTACTGAGATATATTCCAGGTTTACTAATTGCATTTACATTCTACCAGTTGCCATGGTGGGAATTGAACCCATGACCTAAAAGCATCAGCCTCCGACTCTGAGCTACTTGTCTCGTGATACCGTGCTTCACAACCGTGGACCCCAAACTGTAAAGGAACGTAATCGCAAAGGTTATTGCCAGACGGCACGGTGACAGATGCTAATGCAAACTGCAGGATTATTTTCTGAAGTGGTTATAACAAATAATGTGAACAACAAACCGACTCTCACTCCACTGCCCTTCACAGACAGCTCTGCAGTCAATTACGAAAGAAAAGTGTACAAAAAATGTGAGGGGGTTTCTACCCTGTAATTAATTGATCTGTTATGTTTGTGTCTCTCTGAAGGACTGGGGCCTACGGTCTCGGGCTTTTCCTAACCTTCACTCACCAGCTTTGAGCGGAGGCCGCCGGAACAAGCCGTTCTGTAAGACCGCCGTGGTCCAGCCGATGAACCCCAGCCACACGCTGTTCCTGTTGACGATCCCCGGTGGCGGCAAGACCTTCGCCTCGGCCGGCAGGAGCCCCATTTCCAGCGGTCACCGTGTATCCGACCCGGACGACAAATTCAAAGGGCAACGAGGAAAACAGAAGGGGATGGTTCAGCCTCCTTTACAGCTCCGGCTGGACACCCGCACCCGGCAACAAATGTTCCTCCCCACTCACTTAATAAAACACCAGTTTAATGACACGTTGCTGCTTGATGTTCCAAACACACTGATTCCTGTTTTAACCAGAAAACCCCAACTCAGAAAGCAAATTAGCTAATTACAGTAACTCTCCAGATATGGATTAAGAAGCAGATTGCAACTAAGCTTTAAGGCTGTCATTTAAAAGCAAGATTGCCGCAAGGAAAAATGTTCACAAACTTAAAACCAGGAGAGGTATAGATAAAATTCAGGCGGAAAAATACCTGTTCAATTTACAGATTGAAATTGTTGTTTTTATATTTTTTAATTAGTGCATTTTTTCACGGATAATTTAAAGAGAACTTGGTCAACATTTAATTTTTTCTTCCAAGTCTAAAAGGAAAAGTATTTGGTTCTGAGTAATTCTTGGGTAAACTTGGTAATTTAACGTTTTATTTTAATAAGCTATTTCACCTACAAGTCAGTCCATTTTTTAAAAGTGAAACATTTCAACTTGCATTAAATATTTTACTTAACCGATTGTTCGTACATTTTGGTAGAAGCAGAAGAATAGAGAAGTCCTCGAGTTAATCAATCCATTCTTTTCAACATCACACAGTTTTATTTGGCATGAGCACTTCCACTCTCACTGCTGTCATAAAGATTTATAGAGTCGTAGAGTCACACAGCGCAGAACAGGCCCTTCGGCCCATCATGTCTGCACTGCCGTATCTATGGGAAACCCACTTTACTGCGTCTGGCCCATAAACTTGAATGACATTTTAAATGCTCATCCATGTACGTTTTAAACGTCGTGAGGTTTCCCACCTCAGCTACACTCCCAGCCAGTGCATTTCAGACTCTCAGCACCCTCTTGTTAAAAATGTTTTCCTTGAATCCCCTCTAAACCTCCCACCCTTCTCATTAAAATTGTGCCCTCTCGTTAGTGACCTTCAACTAAGGAGAATAGCTGCTCCCTATCCATGTCCATGCCCCTCATAATCTTACACACTTCAATCAGTTCCCACCTCAGCCTTCTCTGCGGTGAGGAAAACAATCCAAACTTATACAGCTTCTCTTCATAGCTGAAGCAGCCCATCCCAGGCAATATCCTGGTGAATCTCCTCTGCACCCCCTCCAGAGTAATCGCATCCGTCTTACAAGTATGGTGAACAGAACTTCACACAGTAGTTCAGCTGTAGCCTAACCAAAGTCTCAGAGCTTCAACCTCCCTGTTCTTGAAATCTATTCCATGACTGGTAAAAGCAAGTATCAACATGCATCTGCCTCACAGCACCAAGGACCTGGGTTCAATTCTACAGATTGTCTGTGTGGAATTTGCACGTTCTCCCCATGTCTGCACGGATTTCCTTCGAGTGCTCCAGTTTCCTCCCACAATCCAAAAATGCGCAGATTGGGTGAATTGGCCATGTTAAATTTCCCATACTATGAAGGGGTGTGCAGGCTAGGTGGGTTAGCCATGGAAAGTGCAGAGATAGGGAAGGGGGTGGGTCTGGGTGGGAATGATCTTCAGAGGGTTGGTGTGGATTCAATGGGCTGAAAGGCCTCCTTCCAGTCTGTAGGGATTCAATGGTTCTTAACCACCATATTAACCTGTCCCAATGCCTTCAGCGACCTGCGGACAAGCACCCCAAGATCCCTCTGTTCCTCCGAGTTTCCTAGTGTCCTGCCATTCGTTGAGTACTCCTGTATCTTGTTACATTTTCTGGAGTGCATCACCTTATTTTTCAGTGTTAAATTCCATCTTCCCATCTGACCAACCCATTAAATAATTTCCTGTTACTCAAGCCATTCTTCTTCACTATTAAAAACAAATCTTTGTGTCATCTGCAAATTTACTTTTCATGCCCCCTCTTCTAAATGAGGAACAGTGAGTGACCCAGAACTGATGCCTAGGGAATGCCGCTGGATACCAGCCTCCAGTCACATAAACAATCTTCTACTGCCACCCTCTGGTCTCCTACCATATTGTCAAGTAACCCCAGATCCTAATTGCTTTTACCTTTTTTTAAAATCAATCTACCATCAGTTGACCTTGTTAAAGGTTTTGCTGAAATCCATATAAACTACATCCACTGCACTAACCTCATCCATACACCTGATCATCTCCTCAAAAAAATTCAATCAAGTTTGTTAGGCAAGCCCTTCATCTGAAAAAGTCATGCTGACCATCTCTGATCAAACCTTGCCACTCCAAATGGAGGTAAGTTCTGTTGTTCAATAGTTTCCCCACCACTGAAGTGAGACTCACTGGTCTGTACTTCCGCATTTTATCCCTACCATCCTTCTTGTAAAGTGGACTCCCCTGTGGCCAGAGAGGAATTAAAAATTTAAGAGATCCCCTGTGGCCAGAGAGGAATTAAAAATTTGAGTTAGATCCCCTGTAATTTTCCCTCTTGGTCCCTACACGTTCCCTGGTTATCCTCTTCCCCTTCATAAACTTATAGAATATCCTATAATTCTCTTTAATTTCACCCACCTAAGATTGTTCATGCTCCCTCTTTGCTCTCTTAATTGCTTTCTTAAATTCCCCCTTGCACTTTCTATACCTAGGGCCTCTGTTGATTTGCTCCCTTTGTACCTGCCAAAAGCCTCTCTTTTCCTTATCTAGTCCTGAATATTCCAAGACATCTAAAGTTTTTCCAGCTTCTTGCTCCTATATGTCACCCTAAGGGTAACATATGGGGCTTATATTCTCCCCATTTCCTTTAGAACACCCCAAGTCAATGAGCAAGGGTAATACTGGTTATAAGACTGGGCATTGCTACTAAAGTAAGACTTGCAATTTGCCTAAGTACATCTAGTATACAGTATGTACGGAAATCACAATGCACCAGTCTTGGGAAGAATGATTTATGAGGTCAGTGGCAGGGATGCTACAGAATGAAGTATTGTAAAGACATTGAATTGATGTTTGTACAATCTAGTGATGAACTTACCATCATGTTTCTTATGTGTGCGTTGAAGTAGTGGATTGGGACAGTAGGTGAATCACTGCTCCCTTCTATCCTTTATCATATTCATGATATCATTATAGGTTATGTGTTTGTCAGTTAAGTTTTTGTCAGTATTGCTCCTCCATATGGTTAAGTACTTGGCACTGGTGATATCATGCACAAGATGTTCACACTCTGATAGAAATATAACATGGAATTGTCACTTGTCAGCTCAAATTTGGAAGTTATTCAGGTCCTACCATAGGCCCGCATTGGCTGCTTCAATATTGGAGGAATTGTGAATGGAACTGAAGACTGCACAGTCAACAGCAATGTGAACAACCCTATGATGGAGGAGAGATCAAACATGAAAGAAGCGAAGAGGAAATCAAAGGTGTACATTCTAACAGTGATTACACTTTAAAAATACTTAGTTGACTGTAAAGCCCTGTAGGTCTTCCTGCAGTTATGCCTAGGGCTGATAAAAGCATTTTAAAAAAGAAATTTCATCTGATCAAAATTCAATTTTGAGAAGTTATTTTAGAAAACACAATGAAATATATGGAATAAAAACTTTTGTTGCACAACTAAACTCAGATAAACTGTCGAGGTGTGAATTCAGGACAAGTTCTTTAGTTTCAATTTAGAATCACTAATCTCACCCAACCATTTTTCATTTTGTTAGCTGACTAGTGAATGTTAAACCCTCACAACATCCCAGTTCTATTTTCAATACTCTCAGGGAAAAGGAAGTCAGACACATTCAAAAATGCAAACACTCACTTTTATTTATGTGGTAGAAAATGAATTTCATGATTTGATACAAGTCAGTTCCAAGTGTTTATCAGATGTTTCTACGTTCATGCTAAGTCCTTTATACATATAAGAAAATAAATTTATTCCACGCCTAAGAATTTTTAAAAAATTGCAGTTACTCTGATTCCATTTTAACACAGGATTTTGTCTTTATAAAATAAACACCTTTCCATGTTACATTTACAATTCATAATGTTCACAAGTTAAATGAAACATAAACTCAACTGAATTCATGACTGAAATATTTTTGGTTCTCAAGAAAAACCTAATTATTAACACATCATCAGATCTTTTTCAAAAAAGTTCAATAAACAGCAGACTTGTATAAGTGCTTGGAGATCCAGGGAAAACCTAATCCTTTGAATTAAGTTTGTACAAATTAGTTTGTGGCTGGCATTAAACTGAAAACTACCATTTAAAATCTGTAACTGGTAGCTGAGAGCAAGGTTTTTATTTTCATCACAATTGGTCAACAGTTACAAGATTCTTGTGTGGATGAAGGTGGGGACAACAGGAAAGATGAGCGACTGATCATGGCACCCTGGTACATGATCATAATAGAGCGTAATAGAGGAATAGATACTGTTCTCTACAGCCATGAGCGAGAATCTCACAGGCTGTATTAGTTGCTTGGTACCATTGTTAAGGATAGTTTCTTGAGGCTGGAGAGGAACTTTGAAGGGGAAGGAAGGGGTCCAGTTGTCGGCATCCACCCACCAATGACATTGACAGGACTAGAAAGGAGGTTCTGCTGAAAGATTTTCAACAGTTAGGAGCTAAACTGAAAAACAAAATCTCCAAAGTAATAATCTCAGGATTATTACACAATCCACAGGCAAACTAGCATAGGGTAAATAAAGATGGAGTTAAATGCGTGGCTCAAAGATTGATATGAATGGAATGGCTTTCAGTTCATGGTGCACTGGTATCAATACTGGAGTAGAAGGGGACTGTTCCAATGGGACTGGGTTTCACTAGTGCCCTGCAAATTGAATAACTAGGGGCTGAACTAATTACTGGGGACATTTTTGGAGAGGGGATGCTTAGGCATACAAAGAGAAAGGATATGACAGCATTGCAGGGTAGCTATCAAAGTAATAAATAATATCCAGAGTGAGCTAATGAGGGACAAAAAGTGTACAGATATTAGAAAAAGCTGCAAACACAAAGTCAAAGTCAAAAGGGGGTTGGGAGGGCTGGTTGAAAAGGCAAAATTAATGTTTCTGTGTCAATGCATGTAGTATTCACAAAATAAATGAATTATCGCACAAATTCAGGATTGATCTTACAGACATTATGGAGACATGGAGACATGGCTACAAGGTCAAAGCTAGGAAGTAAACAAACATTCAGGGGTACGTGACTTTTCAAAAAAGAACAGGCAGGAAGGAAAGTGGGGTGGGATAGCTTTGTTAATACAGGATAGAATGAGTACAAGTGTAAGAAATGATCTTGGATTGGAAGAGATAGATTTCACACGGGTAGAGATAAGAAATAACAAAAGGAAGGAGACACTGGTGGGTGTAGTTCAAAGGCCCTCTAACGGTAGCTGTTCTGTAGGACAGGAGATAAAGGAGGGCATGTAAAAAAGATAATAATTAATCATATGGCATTTTGAGAAAACCAAGTTGGCAGAGGTAGCCATCAGGAAAAATTCAGAGGACGTATTCAGGATACTTTCCTGGAACAACATATTATGGATCCAGCCGGCAAAGAGGCCTTTTGGATGGCAATGTTTTACAAGGCAGGGTTCATGAATGAGTAAAAGATACATTAGCGCACAGTGGCACAACACGATAGAATGTAATGTTCACAGTTTGAAAGTGAAGAAGAATTCTAGGAAAGGGATAAACAGACATGGTTAACTGAGGAAGTTAAAGATTTAAATAAATAAGCATAAAATATGGCAATAGATTAATTGTAAGTCAGGGGACTGAGAAAGTTTTTAAAGCCAACAAAAAATATAACAGCCATATTCAAAAAAGTATAAGGACCAAAAAGAGTTAACTATAGACTAGTTAGCTTCCTATCTGTCAACTGGAAAATGTTAGTCTGTTATAATGGATGTAAGAGTGGAGCATTTAGAAATATAACCAAGCAGAGTCAACAGGGCTTCATGAAGAGGAAATCATGCCTGACAAATACATTGGAACTCTTTGAGGAGGTAACAGTAACATAAAGAGGAACAAGTAGATGTAATACGTGGATTTCCAAAAGTTGTTCAATGAGATACCGCACAGTGAACAACTGAATAATAAGAGCCTGTGGTGTTTGGGTAATAGAAGACAGAGTTGGATAAAGTGGGCATTTTCAGGATGGCAACCAGTAACTAATGGAGTACCATAGAGATTAGTGCTGGAGCCATAATTATTTACTTATTTATTAATGACTTGGATGAGGAAAGTGAATGTACTACAGCCAAGTTTGCAGATGACACAAAAACAGATGGGAAGGCAAGTGGTGAAGATGACATAAAGAATCTATGGAGAGGTATGGGCAAGTTGGTGAATGGGTAAAAGTTGGCACATGGAATATGTTGGAAAGTTTAAGGTTATATAATGTGGCAGGAAGAATAGAGGAGCTGAATATTATTTAAATGGAGAAAACTGCAGCATACTGGAATTTGAGGTTTGTCTGTGAATCACAAAATACTAACATACTCATTCAGGAAAGGCAAATGGAATGTTGGCCTTTATTTCAAAGAATATAAAAACAGGGAAGTATAGTTTCAGCAAGACAAGGCACTGGTCAGTCCTTACCTAAATACTGTGAACAGTTTTGGGTCCCTTATCTAAGGAAAGACTTATTGGCATTGGAGGCAGTTCAAAGAAGGTGCGAATCCAGGTGTGGAAACATTTTCTTTTGAGGAGATGTTGCGTAGGTTGGGCTTGTACTCCTTTGCAATTAGAAGAAGTGAGAGGAGGCCTTATTGAAACATATAAGATTCCTAAGGAGGTTTAACAGGGTAGATGCGGAAAGGTCGTTTCCCTTTCTGGGTGAGCGTGGAACCAGAGGATAGAATCTCAGAATAAGGGGTCGGCCATTTAAGACAGAGATGATGAGGAATTTCTTCTGCCAGAGGCTAGTGTATTTGTTGAATTCTTTATCACAGTGAGCTGTTGAGACTGGGTCCTTCAGAATATTCAAAGCGGAGATAGATTTTTAAATCAGTAAGGGAATCAAGGGCATGGGAAAAGGCAGGAAAGTACGGTTGAGAAATATCAGATCAGATCACTATGATCCCATTGAATGGAGCATCAGACAAGAAGGGATATATGATCTACCTCTGCTCCTATGTGTTATGGTATACCTCAACCTAATGAAAAATTAATGCAGTTCGACCAGAATTGATATCAATTTTACATTTGACAATTCAGTACCAATATAATTTTAACATTAACGGTCACCATGGAATGAATTTTGCATGACAAAATAATGTGAAAACATTTGACACCAATTGTCTACTGACAGTGGGATGACAAGAATTTCATTATACAAGGGAAAGGACAAGTCTTTAATGACCAGGAAACAATTTTCCAGGTAAACAAAATTACCCTGAAATATCAAAGACATAATACCAGGCCATTATTGTTAAAGGTACTGGAAATATATCAATATTTGAAATATCATGCCATTCCCAGTGCTAATGTTTTTGAATTCTGTAGTAAAATAAAGGTCTACGTCTCAGCTGCAAAGGTCCCAAGACTGGAATATGTCTGTGCTCCCTGTCTTGCATCCATGATTCTTGCTTTCTGTCTGGGATGCGATTCCTTTAATGTATCCATAATTTGTATATTTTTACTCCAAGTTAACGACATATTCACATTTCTGAGTAAGCGTAAAAACTAATACATCAACTATTGTGCTTTCATCTTCCTGTCAGATCTTGGCTCCATCAGGACAGAAATGTACAGTTTAATCCAAGAGTAGGTAACTCCTAGCGAACAGTAAACGGAGATGAGCAACAGTGGCACAAAGGGGAATCTCTGCTGCCATGCTGTTAGGGGATAAATGATCTCACAAATAACCTGCAGAGGAACAAGAGCGCTGAGGTAGATGGATTCTGGTAGGTTTACAAGTGATCCCTCTTTCCTAGATGGAAAACAAATTCAGTTAGATTCTAGTAGATCTCCCATTCATACTTTTTAATTCATCAACATAACGTTTGAAATTGACAATATTTCAATTGGATCTGAATCTTCTATGGAAACAAGTTGAAGCAGGTATTGTTAGTAAATATGAAGTTTAGCAGACCCTGTGCATGACCAATGATGCAGATAGCTTTAGCCAAATTTCAAGATGTGACACCATAAAAAATTAAAGGTGACCTGTCAGCACGTTCTAGGCAAATCTCTACTGATCCAGAGTGCACATTATAGCCCTTGTTGCATTCATTCCCATCTATAAATATTTATAAAGAAGAAAATTGCTGTAAATATACAACAGATAAATCACATTTGAAATACAACTGATCTTTTCTCCTCTCTGTCAAATATTTGCAAGCCAGCTAGTTCTAATGCTTGTTATTATCTATGAGGTACAATACTTGCTCAAATGCTGCAGTGATGTGGAGGTGTCAGTGTTGAACTGGGGTGGACAAAGTCAGAAGTCACAGGACACCAGGTTATAGCCAACTGGTTTATTTCAGAGCTGTGGAATGCAGACACAGAGTTTATAGGCAGAGCGATCAAGGGTCGAGAGATCAAAAGATCATACAACTGGTGTGAGTGGAGTATCAGATGATGTCTCTGCAGGTGACCAAGAGTGTTAGATGGTGTGTAAAGTGTTTATAAAGTCAATGTCTGTGCTATGCTGTCATGACAATCAGGCAGAGCTATAGAAATATTGAAGATGACATCTCAGGTCAGACACTGAATTGTAGGTATGAGGCTTTGTTCAGAAACTGTCCCAGAGTTTTAACATGGAATCAGACTGGTTTTATTCCGAAAGCTGGAATTTATAAGATGCTAACTGACTGTGATGACAAATTGTGTGTTTTTGAACAAAATAGAATGCATTTGCAAACAAACAAACATCTTGGATGAAATGATTCACCCCATACATTTGTGTGTGCGTGTGTGTGTGTGTGTTGGGGGGACAAGTGTGTATGTGTGCGTGCGCGCGCGTGTGTGTTTGTGGGGAGAGAGTGTGTGTGAGTGAGAGAATATATATGTGTGAGAGAGTACACACACATCGTTGGGGTGAATCATTTCATCCAAGATGTTTGTTTATTTGTAGATACATTCTACATTGTTCAAAAAAAAAACAAAATGCTGCAGTGGTACAGTTCTTTAGAGATGTATGTGTGGTAGGACAGAATGATAAAACATGTTCTTTTTCCCCAACTCTGGACTGTTTTCAGCTATCCAGACCCTAAGCTGTGGAATTTCTCCATAAACCTCTCCATCCCGCTCATCTCTTTGAAGGCGCTTCTTCAAATTAACCTCTTTAACCAAAGTTTGCTTTAAGGAGCTCACTGTCAAAAAAAAAAAAAAAATCTTTCTGCTAACATTCCTGGATGTTTTTCAGTTTTCAAAATCTGTTGTGTAGTCAAGGAGTGTTGCTGAGTAACGACTTAAAAATGTTTGGGGCAGAAATAGATAAATCTTCCAGGGTGTTTGAGCGTACTTTCTAATAGCTGGATCAAGAATGGTAGTGACAAAGCTCAGGAGCAGCTCCCCTGCACACTTCACTGAGGGATATTGTGTGGTATGAACAAAATGTTAATAAAAAAGATAACTTTTTCAATAAAAGGAGTAAATGAATGGCACTGATGAGATATTTTTTGCACATAACATATCTCACTTCAGCCACAACGTGACAAAAAAAATGATAAAGGAGGAAATCTACAGATGTTTAATAATTTCTCTAATGACTTTTCTATTTGATATGGAATTCTTCCAATGCACAGAGATGCTATCATGTTACAATAGCCCAAAAGGTGGTGACATTGACACTTTACGATGTGAGGTTTCCATCTGGATAAAAATGAATCTTTTATAAAAATCACAGAATCCCTACAGCGTGGAAACAGGCTCTTCGGCCCAACAAGTCCACTCTGACCCTCAGAGCATCCCACCCAGACCCACTGCCCTATACCCCACCTAATCTACACATCCCTGAACACTACAGGCAATTTAGCATGGCCAACCCACCTAGATTGCACATCTTTGGATTGTGGGAGGAAACCTGAGTGCCCGGAGGTAATGCACGCAGACACGGGGAGAATATGCAAACTCCACACAGACAGTCACCCACACAAGGGTGGAATCGAAGCCTGGTCCCTGGTGCTGTCAGGCAACAGTGCTAACCACTGAGCCACCATATTGAGGGCATAATTTGAACAAACAGCATTCTCTCCAGACCTTCTTTCCCATTTAAACAGTAATTACAGTATTTGAATATTGACAGCAGAGACTATTCACAGTCTCCACAGCGGGAGGAGATATGCATTTCAGCTCACCTGAACAAAGCTCGAAGAGCAGAGAAACTATAGACAGTGAACAGCAGCATGAGACCGATCTTAATTGGTATCTCTGTAAAGAAAATACCAGTACAAAGTGAAAAGCATTGTATTGAATCTCATTCAGAAGTAAATTAGGCTTACACTGCCAACAAGGAATCATACTTGAAGGCAGCAACAGTTGAAGGTGACATTAGATAATCTCTAACTTTGAGCTCATTGCTTGCAGTGAGCATTGGATCAGTGTAGAAGAAAATAATAAATCGTACGAGCAGGCCCATCAGCCTGCCTAGAAGCTTTTCTCCTTCCCTGGCACACCACTATCCATCCCTCAATTTCCTGCCCGTTGTTCTCTCTCTCTGGCCTCCATTTCCACCTCTCCTCTCACTCCATTACACGTCAACCCCATCTTCACCTTTTCCTACCTACTACGAGTTCTGATGAAGGGTCACAGGATCCAAAACCTTGACACTGCTTTTTCTCCACAAATACAGCCAGACCTGCCGAGTTTCTCCAGCAATTTCTGTTTTTGATTTAGAATCCTAATTGGTCCTAGTTTTTACAGTTTCAACTGACCCAGATTTCACAGCTGTTGTGAGGGACAGCTTTCTAGACTTTCATAACCATTTGAAAGATAAAGTATTTTCAGATCTCACGCCTAAACAGCATCACTGAAATTTTAAGATCGTGCTCCCTGTCTTGAATTCCCTCGCTAAAATAAGCTTTCTTTGCATCCATCCTGTGAAACGTCTTCATCATTTTAAAACACTTCATTAGATCACTTTCTCAACTTAAAGGAATACAAATCAGGTTACTTCAGAATGCCCTCTTAAATTTAAGCTTTTCAGCTCTCTGATCGCTCTAGTAAATCTGTGATGTTTCCCCTCCTAGATCAATTCGAGATGAAGTCCCCAAAGCTGAATGCAATACTGTGGGTGAGATATGACCAAGACTTTAAAGAAATTAAGTATCACTCCTCTATTCCAAACTCCGAGTTAAAGGTAACAAAAATGCTACTGTGATGTTAACTTTTCATACTAGAATTCAAACTTCATTAGAAATTCAACCAAAGTAGATTAGCAGGCAATGTATTGAGGGTTCCTATGCAGGCAAAAAATTAAAGATAACATTATAGAACGGTGTGTTTAATAACTAATGATAAAAGGATGGACTGGATTGTGCTGTAACTCAGAATCAAGGATGTTTGCAGTTCTGATATCTAGGCTGTGCTGAGTTAGGAGTTCTCAACTAGTCCAGCAGGGTAGGTACAATAACTTGTGTCAATATTAGACAAAAGAATCTCAGCCAACATTCCCTCTCCTAAACATGATCCAGTGATCCCAAAATACACAAGGAGGCATTCTTAAGGAAAGGGGAGAAAACAGAGGGAGAAAATCAAAAGCATAAAGGAAAAATCAATAGTTGCCAAGTGATTTTATAATGCCTAAAAGAACCAGTCAATGTTTATATTTGTATTTGTTGTGCTTCTGTTTATTTGTGATATGTTGGGATTACATCATCCTAGAGGCTAAGCTATGAATATTGCACACAATCTAATATCAGTTGTCTCTCAAAATTGATGCTTACACATTTTCTCGCAGAAATCATCGGATAACAAAGTGAAGTGGGATGGCTAGCAATTTCACTAATGTTCCTATTCCATAAACCAAAGGAGACCCTCTTTTTACTCCAATTAAAATTAACTACCTCAGCATAGATGGGGAATTAAGCCAGTGGCATTCTGGGTTAAGATATAGAATCCCTACAGTGTGCAAACAGGCCATTCAGCCCAACAAGTCCACACTGACCCTCTGAAGAGCATCCCACGCAGACTCACCTCCGCTGTAACACAACACACCCTGCATTTCCCATTGCTAATCCACCTAATTTACACATCCGTGGACACTATGGGCAATTTCCCATGGTCAATCCACCTAACCTGCACATCTTTGGACCGTGGGAGGAAACCGGAGCATCTGGAGGAAGCCCACACAGGCACGAGGAGAATGTGCAAACTCCACACAGACAGTCACCCGAGGGTGGAATTGAACCTGGGTCCCTGGTGTTGTGAGGCAGCAGTGCTAACCATCGAGCCACCATACTGCATTTAGGTTGAATGTGTGAAGAAAAATCCTTGGATAATATTGTGCGTATGTAAAGAGACACTGATGATGGGCTGTAGAGTTAGAAGCTTTTCAGTTGCAATGTCTCACATTGTGAATGAATTTAAAACTGAGTAAAGAAAAATTGACTTCTGGTCTACACTTTTACCAACTCACAATAAGGAGTCATTCTTCATTCTGATCATACATTTTAGCAGTTTATTAGGCAAAGTTGCAAGGTCAGTGAAACTGAAACTAAGGAGGAATTTTCATATAATACTCAAAGTGAGGGGAAAACAGTGGATAAAATGTATTTATTTATTCAATAACACAAAAATAATGTAAATGTACATGATCATCTTATCCTTACCTGGTCCTGTGAAGAGGAGTGGGAAAAGGGAAAAGTGCCCTGTTGTGGCTAAAATGAAATATGTTCCAGCATCTTTTCTATTTTCCACAGCTAACAAACTAAGGATTTAAAAGAAAAACACTGCAACTTAAAACCAGATTCTTTGAAAATTAAAACCGGATTCTTTGAAAATGACTGTTTTTTAAAAATTTTCTTTATTTGATAACCAATTTACTCCAACACAAATGTATATTATGACGATGGGAAAGGAAGTCTCTGTCGGAAGAATATTTTCTAGCGCCAATGTTACGAGAATCACGTTAGGAATTTTTTTTTTAGAAAAATTTTTAAAATAGCAAGCAAGAAGAGGGTGAATAATGAGTTTTATAAGCTACGATATATCCTATGAACCAACCGAGTACTAATAAAGGGCATCAGGAAAAGCTAGGATCCTAATGCCAACTGCAGGGGAACTCCACCACAAACCTTTCTCCAGCCTGAAAAACACTCATTAACCTTTACTCTCTGTTTTCTATCACTCACCCAATTCTGAATCTACTGTCTCTTTCATTCTATGACCTATCACTTTCCTCACGAGTCTGTTTTGTGACACTGTATTGAATTCTTTTTGGAAGTCACATACATCACATCAACAGTCTCACCCTCATCAACCCTTTGCTCTTCCTCAGAAAACTCCTGCAAGTTAGTTAGACATGATACTCCCTTAACAAATCCACGCAGCTTTTTCCAAATTAACCCAAATTTTTCTACGTGGCTATTAATTCGATTAAATGATTGTTTCTAGAAGTGTCCCCACCACCAAAATTAAATATAGTGGTCCTTAAATGCTGGGGCTATCTTTTCAACCTTTTTTAAAAAGGCATAATGTTGCAATTCCCCAGTCCTTCAGCATCACCCTCAAGTCCAGGGAGGATTGAAAGATCATTGCTAGTTTCTCTACAATTTCCATGCTTACTTCCTTCAATACCTTCAGACTTATCTTACTCAGCCACAGTACCAACAGCGTTTGCAATACCTTCTCCTTATCAATTTTAAACTCGCCTAGAAACCGAGTTTCCTCCTCTGTCACCATAGTCTGGGCAGCCTTTGCCTTATAGACAGATACTAGTATTCATTTGATACTCTTGCCTCCAACTGTAAATGTACTTTTTGATCCCTCATCAAACCTATTCCTCCTTTTACCACTCTTTCCTTATTGACTTTTGGATTTCCCTTGATACTAACTGCCAGACATTTTTACTAATTCCTTTCTGTATTTCTCCTGGTTCTCAATTATATTTATGACCTAACATCTGTCATAAACACACTTTTTCTTCTATTTAATTTCTATCTCCTTTGTCATCAGTGGATCTGAGGTTGACAGGGTGAAGAGCGTCAAGTTCCTTGGAGTGACAATAACCAACAACCTGTCCTGAACTTCTCACATAAATGCAACAGTCACAAAGGCACAACAACGCCTCTTCTTCCTCAGGCAGCTCAGGAAATTTGGCATGTCCATAATGCCCCTCACCATGTACCATTGAAAGCATACTGTCTGGGTGCCTAACAGCCTGGTATGGCAACTACTCTGCCCAGGACCATAAGAAACTACAGAAGGTGGTGTGCACAGCCCAGACCATCATGGAAGCCAACCTTCCATCCATGGACTCTATTTACACAGCTCGCTGCCGTGGAACAGTGGCCAACATCAACAGACCCCTGGCACCCTGATAACGATCTCTTATAAATTCTTCCTTCAGGCAGAAGATACAGAAGCCTGAACACATGCACAAGCAGGTTCAAGAACAGCTTCTTCCCTGCCATTATTAGACTGATGAATGGACTCTCTAGCCTCAAATAACGCTGATCTTGCTAACGTTGATCTCATCTAACACACACACTGTGCGATGTAACCTGTATGCCTCTAAGTCTATTTGATCTGTACAACCTTGCCTACTATGACTACTTGAAATGTTCATAAACAAAGCTTTTCACTATACTTCAGTACACATAACAATAAATCAATCCACGGAACATAGAACATAGAACATAACAGCGCAGTACAGGCCCTTCGGCCCTCAACGTTGCGCCGACCTGTGAAACCAATCTGAAGCCCATCTAACCTACACTATTCCATTATCATCCATATGCTTATCCAATGACCATTTAAATGCCCTTAAAGTTGCCGAGTCTACTATTTTTGCAGGCAGGGCATTCCACGCCCTTACTACTCTCTGAGTAAAGAACCTGCCTCTGACATCTGTCCTATATCTATCACCCCTCAATTTAAAGCTATGTCCCCTCGTGCTAGCCATCACCATCCGAGGAAAAAGGTTCTCGCTGTCCACCCTATCTAATCCTCTGATCATCTTGTATGTCTCTATTAAGTCACCTCTTAACCTTCTCTCTAACGAAAACAGCCTCAAGTCCCTCAGCCTTTCCTCATAAGACCTTCCCTCCATACCAGGCAACATCCTGGTAAATCTCCTCTACACAAAGAAAATTACAGTACAGGAACAGGCCCTTCGGCCCTCCAACCCTGCACCGACATACCGCCTGTCACAGAGCTCTGGATTTGATGATCCTACTTTTCTTTTTTGAGGGAATATACTTTGGCTTTGCCCCAGCCATGTCCTCTTTAACGTAAGTCATTGTTTATCTACTGTATTTCCTGCAACGTTTTTGTTTCCGATGATCGAGCCCTTCTCTGTTCATGGTTCACTTAAGTCTGCCCACTGCCAGATAATTATTCTTACTCTGGTTGACCAACGTCATTTTTCACCGTCATCCCAAAATTATGATACAAAGAGCATTTACCCCTCAATGTTCCTTCCACTGCCATTTGACTTTCTTGGCCCAATTCAATGCCAAGAAGCAAAATCAAGTAATACATCTGGAATTGAAAGTTAGACCCAATATTAAATTAGTGACCATGAACTCATCATCAATTGTTGGAAAAATACATCTTATTCACATTTTGAAGAAGGGTAATTGGACTCAAAGCAATAATGTTTTCTCTCCAAAGATGCTGCAAGACCAGCTGATCTTTTCTAGCAATTTCTGTTCTTGTTTTTTTTCAGCTCTCCGACATCTGTAGTTCTTTGTTTTATCTAATTCATTAATGCCCTTTAAGGGAGGAAATCTGTCTCTTTTCCTGGCCTGGCCTGCATGTGACTCCAGACCCACAGTAAAGTGGTTAACTCATAACTGCCATCTAAAATGATCTGAGAAACTATTCTGTTCAAGGGCAGTTAAGAGATGGAATGCCATGAAAAAATAAAGAAAAATAAATCATTCCCGGTTCGGTTGCCCATGTTAAGATCTAATTCAAACGTCTTTGAGATATTTCCACACATGACACTACAACAAAATCGCCATTACTTAACATTACAAAAAGTACTAGAATCATTGAATCCCTACCGTGGCCATTCAGCCCACTGAGACTGCATTGACCCTCGAACAGCATCCCACGTAAACCCACTCCATCCCTGTAATCGTGCATTTCTTGTGGCTAATCTACCTAACCTACACATCTCTGGACACCACAGGGCAATTTAGCATGGCCAATCCACCTAAACTGCACATCTCTGGATTGTGGGAGGATAAAGTACCTGGCAGAAACCCACACAGACACGGGGAGAAAGTAGAAACTCTACAGACAGTCACCTGAGGTTGGAATTGAACCCGGGTCCCTGGCACCGTGAGGCAGCAGTGCTAACCACTGTGCCACTAGTGTAAGACTAGTATTTAAAAAAAAATACACTAAGCTAACTAATTTAAAGTACCTCAGAGGTAAAATGGCGATCAGAATGGCCTTTTCATGTACGTGCCAGCCAAACATGAATGACCCCAATGCACAAAGGATTAGGCATTGAAGGAACCCTCTAGGTCCTCGAGGTCTTAACCAAAGTTGGAGAACAGCAGGCTTGAAATAGGAGAAAAGGGAGAAGTATAAGACATTGATTAATAAGTGAAACAAAAAACATTAAACACTCGTCACTTTGCACGTACTGAAAGACTTGCGTGAGCTTTCAGCTTTAAGACTAGAAAAGTAAATACAAAACTAGGAAACTCATTGCACCAAGTAAGTTTACTAACTGCATGAACTAACATCATAAAAAAAAATTAAAAGACTGAAGAATATCAATTGTGTCTTGTTTCATTATTTGCGGAATTATTTGGAAAGCAAGTGCTGGTACTGACCATTATTGACAGCAATGTACAGACCAAAGTTGTGAATGGTGACACAGAAGGCAGGACAGCATGCTGGAACTCCTGTACTAAGCCACCTGTCATTGATGCCTTTGAAAGCTTGGCAGAATCCAGCAGTTGTAACTTTACATCTGTACCAGGAAATGAAAACTATCTTCAGTTATTCGGAACTTTGACTTCTGTTTGATACAACAATTTTATATGTTAGTTACAGAAGTAGCACCACAACTAGCAAGATAATTAAATTTTACCTGATAAATATCAGAATTATGAAATTATAATTTCCTGATTAATTGTTAATTTTCAATATTCAGGTAATCAATTTAATTCAATTCATTTACTACTCTCAGTAAAAGTCTTCAGAGGCCACGTCAATGTATTAAATGTTTGAGAACCTTAACTAGACCATACCAATGACAGACAATACTTTGTCCACCACATTGTACAGAGCCCAGAAATTTGGGGCCCAATATGCATGGCAAAGACCTCGCTTGAAGGGGAATAGTCTTGCAAGCACCTGGGACAGCTGACCCTGAGAAAGAAAGAAAAATCAATTAATAAAATTGGGCCATTTTGCATTTTGGTTCAAAATTTTCTTCATAAGTATAAGCTCCAATTCAGCCTTCAAAAATCACACATCTTCACTTGGACACACATTGTTATTCCTTAATTTTCAGAAGTTGTTTGGAGTAGACTGTGCACAAAGGACATCTGACAAGTGGGAGGCGTTCAAGAGTGTGATGACCAGAGTTCAGAGGCATTTTGTTCCTGTTAGAGTGAAGGGTAAGGCTGGTAAGGAACAATGGATGAATAAAGATATTGAGGTTCTAGTCAGGAATAAAAGAAAATCTTATTTTAGATATAGACAACTTGATTCAATTGAATCTCTTAAATCAATTAAAAAAAAAGTGTGGGGCATTATTGAGAGAGAAATCAGGAAGGCAAAGAGGGGAGATGAGATAGCTTTGGCACATAAGATTAAAGGATAATCCAAAGAGGTTCTACAAATACATTAACAGCAAGAGGGTAAGTACAGAGAGGGTAGGGGCCTCTTAAAGATCAAGAAAGTCATCTTTGTGTTGAACTCCAGGAGATGGGAGAGATACTAAACAAATATTTCACATCAGTTTTTATTATGGAGAAAGAACTGGAGTCTAAGGAATGCAGAAAAATAAACTTTGATGTTTAAAAACAGTCCACGTTACAGAGGAGGACGTTTGGGAGGTCTTGGAGAATATAAAGGTGGATAAATCTCCGGGCCCTGATCTGATGTATCCCAGAATGTTGTGGGAAGTAAGGGAAGAAATTACGAGACCCCTTGCAGAAATATT